TCCACTTATAAGCTATCAACACATTTCTCCAAAAGGGATACTGCCATGCAAAAAATTCAACCAAATCCTCAATTAATATCCATATTTCAATGAGTCAAAAATGCACGCTTCAACAACTTACATTCCATAAAATTCAGACTTCAAAAAACAATCACCAATTTTACGACAGCCAAGTCCCAAACTTCATTAGCGATCATGAATACAAATTATAAGCAGCTCGATCTTAATCAACTCCTGGAACTCCTAATGTAAGAAAAAGTCCACCTCACCACCATCCATAACAAAACTCAATAGCATTAAATTAAAAACTAACCAGAAAATGCACAAAAAGATGTAGATATTATTTATAACGTCAAAACAGCGTATACTTAAAAAAAAAAAAAAAAGGAAAAAGGAAGGAAAAGAGTACTATTATAAGAGATTAACCTCGTTTGCGGTAGAACATAGTGGACGAAGGCAGAGAATCCCTACGGAACTCGCTGAATCGCTGAATCAACCGCTGCATTGTCGACGAGAAGTATCCATCGCCGTCGGTGGAGTAGAACCCCGCCATTCTCCGATGGTGATCGACGGCGACTCTGAACCGGTTTTTCAACTTAATCTGTAGCATCCGAGCGCCGTCCTTCAACACATCGCCGACGGCCGTTTCAACCCACCGCTCCACAACCATCCTCAACTCTCTCTCTCTCTCTCTCTCTCTCTCACGCACTCACACACGAAAATTCTTAATCTTAATTTTTTTTTAAATTTGTGCAATGGAATAAAAACTACTTTTTTCCCATTATTGAAAAACAGGAGTGGGCGGCAGCGCGAGTGTAGCAGTGGAGAAGAAAGGGACTCACTATATATAGTAAGGTAGGGTTGTTGACTTGTTGCTAACGTCCGCAGGGTGCTCATTGCGCACGTCTAAGTGGATAATGTGATTGTTTTATTATTAGGGATAATTGCAGAAACCTCCATGAAGTAAGTGTAATTTTTTAAATCACAGGGGAGGTTAGTGTAATTTTTTAAGCCACAAGAGATGTCAATACAAAATTCTATGACATTCGTATTGATCCCTGATGGATAATTGCAGAAGCCTCCCCTGAGGTTTCTAATATTTATAATGATCTCCTCTGTAGTTTGAAAAATTACACTGATCTCTCCTGAGGTTACTAATCCTTTGCAAATTTAGTCCAAACGATTAAAATATTATTTTAGAGAGTGTAATTAGAATTTTGTACCAGATTTGCCCTTTGTGCTACATGTTCAATGAATGATAGAGTACCATAAATCAATTAACAATTAATAAACTTTAAGGAGTATAATTTATGGGGCAAACTTGCATTACTCATTTAAAATACCGGCTTTTTACAGGTATTTTACTTTCAAACATTTAATTTATGATAAATATATCAATATTTGTAAGTAAAATTTAAAAAGTGTTACAGTAATATTCTTGCAAAAAGAAAATCGGTAGGTTATTTATTTAATAAAAATTAAATTTTTTTTAAAAGAAATGACCAATAAAGTATTAATTTTTTATGACTTTCATCCATTACATGAGTAAAGTATTCGTTCTTTATGTGCATTTTATTCATTTAATTTATGTTAAATATATAAATATTTGTAACTAAAATTGAAAAAGTGTTATATTAATATTTTTACGAAAGAGAGATTGGTAGGTTTTGTATTTAACAAAAATTAAATATTTGAAAGTAAATACAAATCTGTATTTGAGTGTAAATATTTGTATTAAATTAAATATTTGAAAGTGAAATACCCGTAAAGAACCGATACTTTAAATAGTTATCGACTCTTTATGGGCAAACATGCATTATTCAGTTAAAATACTGGTTTTTTACGGGTATTTTACTTTCAAACATTTAATTTATGATAAATATATCAATGTTTGTAAGTAAAATTCAAAAAGTGTTACAGTAATATTATTGCAAAAAGGAAATCGGTTGGTTATTTATTTAATATAAATTAAATATTTTTTTTAAAAAAGAAAGAAATGGCCCATAAAGTATTAATTCTTTATGACTTTCATCCATTACATGAGTAAAGTTTGGCTCTTTATGGCATTTTATTTTGAATCATTTAATTTATATTAAATAGATAAATATTTGTAACTAAAATTAAAAATGTGTTATATTAATATTTTTACGGGAGAGAGATTGGTAGTTTTTGTATTTAACAAAAATTAAATATTTGAAAGTAAATACAAATCTGTATTTGAGCGTAAATATTTGTATTAAATTAAATGTTTGAAAGTAAAATACCCATAAAAAGGCGGTACTTTAAATAGATAATATGTATTTACCTATAAATTATTCTCCTTAAAGTTTATTAATTGTTAATTAATTTATAATACTTTGTCATTCATTGGGCATGTAGTACAAAGGACAAATTTGGTAAAAAATTCTAATTTCACTCCCTAAAACAATATTTTAATCGTTTGGACTGAATTTGTAAAAGATTAGTAACCTCAGGGGAGGTCAGTGTAATGTTTTAAACCATAGGGGTGGTCAGTGCAAATGTCAGAAATCTCAGGGGAGGTTTCTGCAATTATCCCTAATAAAAATATCTTTGTGGGCCAGTGGGACACGTGTTGATGTAATGTGGACAGAGGACCCACTGGATTTTGCTGGCTGGTTTTACTCATTAAAATGGGCTGAAAGACAAAACCAACCCTGGCCCGGTCCACTAGACCATTCTAGTTTGGTTTCTGTAGAATTTTCAAGAGTAATTGTAAAAGTTAATCAAACACCAAATGATCATGTTTAAATATTATTAGATAGATTACAGGTATAAATCTAATCTTTATCTAATTTGGTGTTAAATAGTGATAAATTGATTATTGAGATATAATTATTCAATTTTAGTCTGTGTATGTGATACAATTAAAAAGATATTTAAAAAAGCTTTTGTTGAATAAATGTGCTCATTGTAATTGCATGTTTTAGAAGTTGATCTCATTGTTGCAACTCTTAAACAAGATTTCTTTTTAGCTAACAACTTTTTAGACTTTTAAAAAATTATAAAAACGAGAGTTTGATAAAAACTCAAACCTGAATATGCTAAATTACCGAATTATTAAGTACTAAAATTTTAACATTCGTGGGTACTCTGTATTAGGTAATAAGTGAATAGCTTATTACCCATTATTTTAAGTAAATTTTGCCTAAATAATTCAAATCTACTTAACTAATAACGTTCTATTTTTCACTATCAAACACATATAAACATATTAAAATTTGAACCCATTAATTTTAAATATTGAGTTGGATTATCAAACATGACCTTAATCATGTTAATTTTTCTAAATTTATGTTATTCAATCCCTTTATTCTTATATTTTATACACTTCCATATGTGACTTTTAGATATTTTCATGAATATTTTAAAAATCCCATGTGATACACCGTTATGTTCACCCTTCTACTTCCAACAAATGAAAATATGATCGTAAAAGTAAACAGAAAAATGATCAAACAAAAAAGAACCTATAGCTTGGTGAATGCCTGGTATTGTATTTTATCTGACTCTAACCTGGTCAAATGAATCAGAACATTTTAAAGAGAAAAGATATTAGAAACTAATTTGCTTAAACGCCAATTCCTATTTTCTACATTATTTGATCATGGTAGAAGTAGTAGAGAAATTGATAAGAAAAATTGTAATTTAGCTTGCCTGCCTTTTTCTGGCTCTGGCTTGGTCAAGTGATCAGAAACTTGCAGCAAGCCAAGTAAAAGAAAACAAGTTATCATGGCAGAATTAAACAAGTTATTGTACAGCCCAAAAAATTTCACAAAAAATCTATAGGAGATAAACTACACTTTTGCACTTTTTGTTAACAAAAATACTCATAAATGACTTTATTTACTCCATTAAAAATGCTCACCGCCTGTTTATATAGGCAAGAATAAAGTTTTGGTGAAACCTGTTTGGAATGTGAGTTCTTTGGGAGTTTGTCTAAAATTTTACTGTAACTTACTATAGAAGTTTTTAAAAAATTTTTGAAATGTGTAGATTTTTGAATATTTTGAAATGTATAGTTTAAAAATTTTAAAATTTTTTTTGAGGTTACTGTAGTTAAAATTTTTAAAAGACTTGTAGCAGACAAACACCTTTTTTTTTTACTATTTCATGATGCTGCGGGCTGCCAGCATTTTTTTAAATATGTATATATATATATATATATATACTAGAATGGTTCTGGCTGTGCCTTGCATAGCCGATGCCCAATCTATTGTGTAACAAATATTGAAAAATTCTTTGCCACTCTTATTTTTAAACTTGGGCACAATTGTATCTAATTCTTATTCTAAATTAGAAATAAATTACCCATTTGAAAAGGTTCAAAATTCTCATCAGATTAAATAATTATTCATCTAAATCCAATAGCACAACCAATTCCCAACCTATTGTGTAGAAAATATAATTTAGAGCACCTAAATTGTAAGTAGTGACAATTCTTATGTAGATGTATCTAATGTAATAAGGTGTTTACCATAGCTCATGCCTACCTATTAAAATTGAAGAAATGTTGGTCCTAACAATATTAGATATGAACATTATTTTTTTATTTTTATTAATTGAAATACCAACCTAAATACTGTTATTATTTGCTATTCTTTTTTTTTTTTAAGTTTAAAAATTTTTTAAAAGGATTTTTAGGCTAGAAGATTAAAGTTTTAGCTGAAAAGAAATCTGATATTAGAGATTATTGTAGAAAATTTTATTAAGTTCAGTGATTTTGTGGTATAATTAAAAAACTTTTGTGGATTGCTTGCATCATTGGTCATCAAGTTGTAAACATAGCATGCCAAATACGTTTACTGGCAAGATGTGGAAAATATTAAGTGCGTAAATTATTGCTTTCTAGCAGTAGCATCTCTCTAATGAAAATCAAAATATCCTATACTACGTAGTCTATGTTGCATCTGTAAATGTTCAAAAGATCCTATACTATGTTGCATTTGTAAATGTTTAATCAACAAGAGTAAGAATAAAGAAGCAAAGGTAGAACCTTACTTCTTAAATGAAATTACATAATATCCTTTCCATTTAAAAAGCACAAAATTCATACACCTTTACAATGAAGATACCAGTTTCTGGGGATTACATATATTCACCTTCTGCTTATAATGTTATTTTTTACATGAAAGAAAAGGAACAGTTGTACAACAGAGAAGAAAATGTAAAAATTACTTTCAGTAGAATGATTGCTTCCATGGCAGCTAGCCATCTATAAAACAGAGAACAAAGAACACAAATTGCTTTTAGTAGAATGGTTGTCCCCATAAAGAGAGAAAGGGGGAAATTTGTTGATAGCTCTTGAGATTGTACTATTTTGTGAGAGATATGTGGGCTCCCTTTTAGTGAAACCTGAGTATTGTAGCATTCATTAAACCACTCATCTACTAAACTAAAACTTTTACTTGCATTCCTTTATCTTTTCATCTCAATGAAAGTAGTCGTAAGAAAATGAAAGCAATATTAGGCCTGAGTACTGTTTTGTTCTCCATCAATGCACCATGCATAATATGATAACTAAATCTATGCAGTCAAGGAACAGAAGAAATGACCTTGAAGTAAAGCAATTCCTTAGCATGAATCCATCAACCCCAAATATGCTGAACTGGTGAACGGAGTTGGAAATGTAAATTGGATGTAGAAGAATGCTATCAGTCAACGCAAAACTATGCAAACTATCTAATAATATTAATACTGACAGAGGAAAAAATAAAACAAAAAGAAAGGAGTAATTAGTTTTAGTAGGAAAGATTGCAAAGGTGCAATTATTTTCAGCCATATTCAGTTAATAAGTGAAACCAAATGAACTTACAATCTAAAAACTACAGTCATTTAAGCTACAAAAGAACATAGTATCGTTTCTTACCAAACAATCTGACTTCATTAGGTTTGTGCATTTTTTAGTGCAAATACGAGGGTGTATGGTTCAAAGTTAGTGAGCAAACATATTTCATCAAGAAAACCTCATTTTTTTAATGTTCCAGCTTTATAGATACTCGGATTTAGAGAAACTGTCACAGATTCTGTAATCTTTAATTGGGTGTAATAGTATTCATAGAAGAGATTATGCATCACTCACTACATTCAAATTATGTGAATGCATAAAACAGCCAACATATTGTGGTTTTAACATTTGATAGTTCTGTGGAACCAAGAACGTTGCCTTTACAAATAGCTTTGAGGAATTAATATTCTACACTTCTAAGCTAGCTACAACAAATCCTAGAAACTCAATATTAGGATTATCTATTTTAAGTTTTGTTTCTTCTATTGCCTACCTGATTTCTATGCATAATACCTTTAATGTGGGGCAAAACCTGATTTCTATGCTTTTACATAAGGTTGGAACTTTAGTTTAAACTTTAGGTTGAGAATTTAACTTGTTTTAGCTTGATTATCTGTATTCAATAAATGGTGACAACCCTTAATTGGTAATTACTTGTACCATATTCTTAACAGGAAAAGAAAAAGCAAGAAATTGAAGGACTAAAGAGAGTGACCTGAAATTGAAGCAACTACTTGCTAGAAATCCGTGGAAGCTAAATCAGAAGTTTTTCTGCACCAATTGTTTCAAACTGCAATTAACCTCTTGATTCTTGAAGAAATTTGGTAACTAAAATAAAAAGTAGACAGATTATCCAATCTCTTAAATACTGGCAGGGGAATAAATTAGACAAAGAAAAGTAGTAGTTATTTTCAGCACGAAAGGTTGCAGAGAACAAAGTAGAAGAAGGGTGTAGTTTTTTGTGACCAGTACTTCTGTTTCTAATATAAAGGCACAAGCTTTCCTTCATTCTTGATAATTTGGCAATTGGTCAACAATATCAGGAAAACAGAAGGACAAACCTATATCTCTAGCAATAGTATTAGCCATTATGAATAGAGCAGATAAAGATGCAAACTTGATAAGTTGTCAGAGATATATATATATATATATTTGAGTCTGGGTAAGTTCTCAACCGGGCAAGAAATGAAAATGAATACAAAAGGACAAACCACATTCTCATGGTTGGGTATAATAATAAAGAGTACAGATGTAAAAAAACTTGGATGGATTGCCATAATTTAGAGAAGAAAATCATGAAATTATTGACTGAGTGATCTGTAAACAACAGGAGGGGGAAAGTAAAGAACGAAAAACAGAAAAAAAAAAAAGAGACAAAGCAAGAGGAAAAGAATGACTGGGGAATAAAAAGGAATAGATAAGGACTAACGAAAAAATCCGATGAGCAGCCGTAATTTAGCTAAGCCAATCCTGAAATTGTTGACCAATTGTTGGAGGAAGCAGGCGGACAACCCATTTCTTGGCCACTGTTTCTAAAAGCTATTCAGCTGCTTCTCTACTTCTCTTTTTCCACCGAAGAGAAGAATAGTCCAAGAAACGGAAACAATGAAAAGGAAAAGAGGATTATCATCTTTTGTGGAACAATCCCACAGTTGGGATATGGATGGGCAGCCATAATTGATTCTTTGTGGGAGAAAAGAAAGCTGAAAGGAAAATTAAGAAACGGGAAACAAAAAGAGAGAGAGAGAGAGAGAGAGAGAGAGAGAGAGAGAGAGATGAAGAAGAAAACAAAAGATGATAGGCTAAAGTTGTAAAATAAAATGCAAAGGGAGTGTTTTGCTTTCCAGCCACATCGGTGCATTTCCATAATTTTGTTTGGCTTTTTGATTTCTTATCTTTCATAACGGAGACAAAGAAAAAGTGGAGAACAACAGAGCTAATGCCAACTACCGCTTTCTTTGGTCTAAAAAAAGAGGGCAAGAGATGGGAAAAGACTGAGAAATAAAGCAAAAGATTATTAATAAAAAGTCAAAAATAGCCCTCAACAGTTAGTTACTATTTTGGGGCTAGTTATTTTTCTCTGGGCAAGATAGTAATTTTATGTAACAAGACAAAAATGACCTCACCAGTGATACACTATTCGGAGAACTAAACAATATTCTCAGGGCATAAACGGGAGAAAATTTTTCTCCCCCCTTCATTCCGCTACGTGGCTAAACCTGTGAGTAAAAATCTCAAGTCTTTCTATATATGTAAGACTAGGAGGTTATCGGCTGTGCTAAGCACAACCTAGGCCCCATATAATCTGTTGTCATATATTTTCATATAAGATAAGATTAACAGTAATGTTTGTGAAATAGCATTCTTAAAATTATAAATTACCAATCAAGTATGCAGCTAACATCAATGTAGTGTACTTATTATGTCTTTTTTTTTCGGACACATAGTATTGGTTCAAAATCTTTGTCCAAATCATGATGAATACAGGACTAACTTTATAAACGGAATTTCTTTTCATAGCAAATTTTAATTGTTGTGATACTCAAATTTTCTCCTATATTTACCAAAAAGATTTATTTGCTCTGTGCGTACAAAGCTCTACGTCTAAGATGAAGTGTAGATTATCCAAGTAACAAAACACAAGGAAAAAGAAATATCAGGGAAAGAACATGAACAAAAAAGGGCAAAGAAAAGCAACAAAATAGGTGCATACATAATTCGAACTTTAGAGGCAAACACAGCAAGAGCAATGATGCACTATAAACAAAACAAAGTAATTTTAATAGGATATTAGCGGACACCTAAAACCACAACTGATCCGAATACCAAGTTAATAACCTTTATTTTCCTTTAGAAATGTTTATTACATTTGATGCCTTTGGAGCCCAGCTTTTGGCTAGACTACAACAAGTACCACCATTCAAATCTCCGTTTTTAAAAAGTAATCATCAGGTTTTTCATTCTCCTAAGGTTGTGTCTAGATTAGACAAAACAACAAGCATATTACATGCAACTTGGGATAAAACAGGCACAATAACCTAAGTTGCTTAACTGATAGTCATATAAAGGAGTGAACGAGTTTTGCCTAAAAGGGCTATAATGAATAACAGCCGAAGGATGCTCTGTATACAATATCCTTAAGAGGTAACCATCAAGTGTTTCATTGCCCTAGACAAGTCTAGACTAAATGAAATAGCAAACAAGGCACACACTAGATAATCAATTAGAAACAAGAGGTACAAAGTCTTAAGTTGTTTAACCAATAATCACTTAGATGACTAAACAAGCTTTGCCAATAACAACCTCTCTGCATTGGCCTTAAAGTTATCTAAAAAATAGATAATCACTCTTATTCCTTATTTAGAACAACAACAGGTCACATATTTTAGATATGTATATTGTAATTAAAGACAAAAGCACCAATAGCAGGAGATTGAAATTAGTTAAAAATAAACTTGTCATGTAATAATAACTTTAGCATAGCAGTCACAGCCCCAAAATCAGCACAAGCAAAAGTTTGTCTCACAAAATATATTGTGCTAATGATTTTGGCTCACAAAATATGTTATTGTTGTCCATTGTTATAATCTTTTTTCTAGTATATATAGCAATTTGGCTGTTTGATAGAACATTGATCATAAGCAAACCAATAGGACAGTTCAGTTGGCCATACTCATATTAGCAAATGGATCTTTCTTTTTTGTAGGTATGCCACTAATAATATATATTCAAGAATTCACCAAATTTCAAAATAAGGATTATTGAACTGGGAGCTGGGTTCATATCTTCATTTTTACTTGTTTTTTCAGGTGAATGGATTGCAGCAACACAATTGGATTGAGAAAATATTAACACAATTACCTACTTAAATAAAAACTATTTGTTTCATAAAGGATCACACAAAACAAATAGCACCAGCAAACTTAAAATAAATGAAGCAGAAACTGAAGAAAAACTACTACAAAGAAAAGGGAACACTAAAATTTCACTTTTGAAAATATAGTCAAATAAATGAAGAAAAACTGCTCATAGATTCAAGAAAGACAACAAGCTGACCTTCAAATTAAAGGATTCCTTGACTGATGATATGAATCATAGCAGAAAGAACCTATCAATTGAAGCATATGTGTATATTAGAATTTATTAATTCGTGTATTACTCATACGGGAAAAATTTCACAAAAAAAAGGGAAAGACTTTTTCTCACCAAAGAGACTCCAAAGAAGGTGTAAAGATCAAGACACTTCTTCTTGCAGTTCATAAGACAGAGGAGCCAGCACCATGCACTGATAAATACCTCTATTTTATTTTTTGATTTCATAATTCACTGGAAAATTTACAGGCTAAATGAATAGGAAACCTATTTTTTTTTATCATAACTGGAACAAGGGAAAAATCACATCTGAAAAGATATTTCTCATCATAATCGTAAGGCTGAATGGAAAACTAATGAGAATAGAATGTCATACCTAATCTAACAAAAAGTTCCCAATTTCCCTCATTTGAAGTATAATTATCATGTGACTGCCCCACAATTCTTGCAACATGAAATCAATAGAAAGAGAAATGGGTTAACATGAAATCAATTCTTGCAACATGAAATGGGTTAATTTGATATTAGAGAAAGAGGAAACTACGGCAAGTGTAGGCAAAACAGTTCACCTGCTCCTAATTTTCCTCCTTTGAAGTACAAACACCATGTGAGTGAGTAGCAATTTCTGCAACATGAAATCAGGTGTCTGGAGTGGCAGTTGACCTACTGGCTTCAACGGCAATTTCTGAAAGAAGGAACTCACAAAACCCATCTCCCAAATCACATAAAAATCCCAACGTTTCCGATTGGGTTTTGGTAGAATAGCCGTTTGGAATTGGATTTGCTTAGAATAGGTGCGCCGAATTTTTGATCAGAATAGCCGTCTGGTCAAAATAGCTGTCTGGTAGAGAGAAAGGAAGAAAAGGCTTCATCGGCAATTTGAGAAAGAAAGAGTTCAATGCCAAAAGAAAGGACAGGTTTTGTACAATTTGGAAGGAATATTTGACTTTTCCACATGGCTAAAGAAAAGAAAAGCACTAATGCCAAAATAAAGAGAAGGCTTCGATCAATTTGAAAGAAATATTAAGAGAAGGCTTCAATACTTTGCAAGAAATATTTGGCCTTACTTGTCAAATAATTGAGAAGCCACTTGGCAAAAGTAAAGAAAAGCATTAAACCTTCTTTCTTTCTTATATACAAGTAGATATTTCTTTGTTGCAAGGTTTAATCAGCCCAACAGGCGACCATCATAGTTTGATACCTGTCCGATGTCAGAACAATATTGTCCCGATTTATTCTTTTTTCAACAGTAATCAGAGTAATTAACCGAATGATTCTGGGTAATTTGATACGCGCCATGCATGATTTAAACGCTCAAATCACAGTACACAGTTGAAGTCACTGTCATCATTTCATGCATTCAACATACCCGCTCAACAGCCAAAAACATCTCTTCCTTTGATCTTTTCTGTTGAACTTGTTGGCATAAATCTGGGACTCTTAACACACTTAACGCGTTTCAATCCAACCAAATTTAATGCAACTGATTAAGGGTTCAGATAATTGTTGGATTGCTTTTCATGCATGGCATATTGGGATTATCTTACTTCATACTTCACGCAGAAAACAAAGACAAGGATACTGTATTAATGTATTATACTTGCATTGCTTAAACCGGTAACCAATTCTCTGGATTAGAAATGCACTCTAGGTAAAGAGATGCATCATACTGAAGTTTCAAGGGAGGGAGAAGAGAAAAACTTTGCACTTTAAATTGTACAATTCACACTACAGACGTTCAAAATACACCATCCAGAAAAAGTGGAACTGTTATGGAGACATCAGACATGAACAATTGGATTCAAGTACGCCTATTCTTTCATGCAATGTCCAATGAGAGAGAACTAATCATCAATGGATTTGGATTTGTTCTCATTTTAACAAGAAGAGGCAAGAAACGCTTGCTGCACCCTCATCATAAATGACAGAGACTTTGAAGGACAGTAACACATTCACCAGCCATGATCTGGACGCATGGAAGGCGTATAATTTTGTTTCATTATCAGAAACAACAGAAAGATATGCGTAGATAGTCATCCAGTGAAATGGGGTGGGAGGTTGCTAGTCCATCACATTCTGAAGCAATTGAACTTGCAAACAGGAAGCTTGATCATTTTCTTTGGTATGCAGAATTTAATACTGCGGTGGAAGATGGAGATATAGCATGAAGATCAGTCACATTTACAAATGCACACAACGATTCATCAGTTCTCTGCCAACAAATTTGACATGACACCAAGGAAAGGAGCTTTCTACCTTCAGAAGGTGTCAGCACATGAAGAGTTGATATTTTGGCACTTCAGCTCCCACATTTAGGTAGTTAACATCAACTACAACTTCCCCAAAATCCTCTGACAGACAAATATTAATCACATTAGACTTCTTATTAACTCTTCTAAACAATGAGGTTTAATAAGTCTAGAAAAAGGAGTTAGAACCTTCATATAGAGTCCTTGCAAACTTAACATATTCAGGAATGAGGTCCTGATAAATGATTCCTTCTGGATGGGCATCTAATACCACAAGGACTCCTGGGAATAGCAACCAAGCAAAATATTAGTAAAACTTTCGGATAAAATGTAATAGTCAATGATCGTCCATCGGAACTCGAAAAACTATTTTATGTAAGGATTCAAGAAAATGTCCAACACATAAACTAGCGACTTTGCTATACAATGCCATGTCCTTTTTTATAAGATTTTGTTCCTGGTACTTGAAAAGAAAAATAAGAAAACTGGTGACTTTGCTATATAATGCCATATACATTTTGATGAGATTTTGTTCCTGGTACTCGAAAATAAGAAAACCAAATTCAGAGAAATATCTCACTAGTTAGGGAAAGCAGTAGGGGTGAAGGCCATGCTCCAGTCAAAGAGCAATATAAGCCAGTTGTATGTAATAAGCCCAGCAATTATTGTCTCCATTCTTTTTGTTTTATGGTGGTCCTTATATGTCCACCTTGGAAACGAGTTTTCTCTCTTATGAATGTTGAGATGACAATGTCACTCTTTGATGTAAGATTTCGTTTGCAGTCATTGGTCACTCGACTATCAAAGTGCATTTGTTGAAAGCTCCACCAAATTTAGTGATAGAAAAGAAGGGAAGAAATGAAAGAAAGCAGACGGTAGTTTTCCTTTCAACTTGAGGTGGTTTGAATCTTACAGCTTACATAACAGCTTTGAAAACTTAACCCATATGTAGCTTTCTCTAGGCTTCATATGCTAACTTCTTTCAAAGTTGACAAAACCAGTCTATGAAAGTCAAATATTTCGAAATGCAATCAAACATACACTACATTATATGTCTCATCCAGTCACATACATGGAAACCAGTTTTAGGGAATGCAAAATCATAAGCACCCCACAGCTGGAAGATCTAATAATTGAAGCAGCAAAAACAGGACAAGCATACCAGCATATAACTTTTGAACTTGAAGCAGAAACTGTTGATACAACGTTAAACTTTGTCCACTAAGGTAAAATGAGAAGAAATACCAGGCGCCAACCACGTTTTTGTGGAATTACTTGGCAAAGGGGCTAGCCACAGGATGTTACGCAAATTCATTGAATCGTCATAAGTAACATTAGAACCTGACAATAATAACCAAAGACAATTATTGTAGAAAAAAACTGCAGAAGATGGTACTTTCACAATTTCTTTGAGCCATGAGTTCAATTTGATACAAGCAATTGCAATTTTGCAATGTCGATTTAGTAAGTAGTCGCAAACAATGAAAGGTGATATAACAGACAATTATTTTGCTTTCGCAATTCATTTTTTCATAATTCAGTTACTCATGGAGGAAACCAACTAAGCCCTTGGGTTCCAAATTGCATATCCAAGTCTGATTGGGAAAAAAGTTTCATATTCAGACGGGGGCAGAACTGTCCACCTAGAAAGGGACCTGGTAGAACCATTAGATGCTTTTTGGATTCCAAAACTGTTTACCATATTGTTTGTCATGGTCCACATTCCATATTAGCACTTATTAAGCATTCCATCCAAGAAAATTGGAGATTGTTACAAGATAACTAACTAAAATTATGCAGAATATTCTTTCAAATCAAATCTATCAAGAAAGAAAAATAATCTCACAGAACTGGAAATAACAGAAAACAAAGAAAATGCATTTTCTAAGTATGTATGACATTACTCCAGATCAACTTACCAATCTGGCAATAACCCATGTTGTAAGGAAACACCTCTTTCTCGTAGGCAGGGTATTCTTTGGCATGGAACCTTTAAAAATGATGAGCACCAATATCATAAGCACCTTGTGACTTTATGAGATTTACTTTCCAAAATAGACAATGAACTAGTGTTGTGTTAAGAAACAACCTAAAGAATTCATCTAATTATTGTACATGATTATCACTCATCATTTTATAAACAGTAAGAAAATTCTCAGTGGATCACCGTTTGACCTTTCTCTGAGATAAGAAAACGAGTCTACAAACCATTTAGCTTACCATCAGTAGAAATTTCATCTTGTATCACAATGAAAACTTTTTCACATAATGTTTCTTTCCATTGTAAGAAATTGTCAAAACAATTTTAGTTGTAAATGGCCTGGCTGAAGTTGACTCAAAAGTAGATGTTTGTTAACTTACAAAATCCCAAGTCTTCCAGAGTCCACAGCAATAAAAAGGTGGCCGTGAAAGAAGTCATAGCGGTTTAATGAGACATTCAGTCCTACGTTCGGACCCCGAGCAACAATCATTTCAAATAAAAATTTTAGGTATGAATTCAACTCCTACATAATGGAAATTAAACAAAAAAAATCAATCAAGAGAACAAGACAAAAACATGACAATACAAACTCAAGATAACAATACTTTCCCATTCTGTTTCTCTAAGATGCAGGGCCTGCCAAGCCTTGCCTCTTTGAGCAGAGAAATTCCTATCTCTGTTTATTGAACAATTAACCTCCCAAATTGCAAATGGTAACCTAACCATTACTTGGGCTTTTAATGCAAAACAAATTGAAGTTATGGCAATGTGTTGCGAAATACTTTCCCATCCCCTAATAAACAAATTATTACCTCATTTATAAAGCGCCAACCATAAGGAGTTCTTGTGAGCTCACATTTATCTTCTTTTGATCCTTCAACATCTGGTACCTGTAAGTTGGAATAAGTAAGACATTGCATCCACCAATTATGCTCAAAGCCAAACAATAATGCTTACATTCAGACCCAATAAGGGACACATTACAGAGCTGAGACAGGACGTAATTTTGAAACCAAATTCAATGGATTTTTCTTGTTTGGTCTCTTACCAAAAACTGATCCTCGAAGAACTTAACTCTGTAGAAAACCACATAATTTTAACTTTGATTGGCTAGTTCAAGAACTAGGGATGCAATTGCATCCAAGGCATCTGGGAACCTACCACTATGTTCCCAAATCCAAGCCCCAACCACAAATTAGGGGGGCCAATTGATGGTTTGAATGCATTGGCATTGGAATAATGTGTTTATGGTGTAACTCAGGCAACATTTTTGTTCTTGTATATCCATGCAGCAAATTCCGCAATGTGACTTCAGCCTGGATGGACAATAACTGCACTAAAATGCAAGGAGGCAATGTAAAATACATGAACCCCTGCATTTGGGTGCAGGAGTTGCGTCCAAGTGGCATCCGAAGCTTCCAGGAGAGAACTTCCCCCAAATGTACATAAAAATTGTTGCTTTTGTAACATACCCAGGTCTCCTCATCAACTGGTCCAAACAATAATTTGTTCGGCACCATATTCGGATGTTACAACAATTCAAAGGCAGAGGGATATATTACGGAGATAATCACTTGAAAGTTGCACGCGTATTGTAAATTGATGGAGAAGGAGAGTGAGGAGTGGAAAGAGAACCGATAATACTTTGAGAAGAAAAGGAAGAGAGAACGCAGAAAGAAGAAATCAATTTCCAAGAAATCCTCTTTAAAAGAATTTTTAAGAAATGGCTTTCCCTATTCTGGCACTACAGAATATAACTAACAATATCATTTGTAATTTCAAATTAATAAAATATCAATGTCGTAGCAAACAACCATGAAAGATACTCTGTTTTCAACAATTTTACTAATTCTAATGCTCTTCCATTATTACTAATTGAAAGCAGCTTTATTTAGCTAAAAACTAGACTCTGAAAACATATTGCTAATTTACATGGGTGATAATACGCATTTCAGACAAATAAAAGAGGGAAAAAACCTTCAGAAAAGAAATCGGAGGTTAAAAACTTCACCTTGATAGGAGTAGGATCAAGAGCTCTATGAATAGCACCGGGATCGCCACCAGAGTCAACAGCAAGACGAGCAAGCTCCATAACCGGGGCTGGCGGCCACCATATTAGCTCATTATCGCGTTCCCAGTCTCTCACTCCTCTTCCGCTATGATCACTGCTCAAAGATTTACGAAAATTGAGCGAACGTCGAAAAGGGTCGTTAATGCCGGGTCTAGCGGGAGGCGAAAACGGTACTAGGAACTTGAAACAAGATTTCAGTTTCTGAGCTTCTTCGGCATTGACAGAAGCAGCCTGTTGGGGAGAGCCCAGAAGAGCCAGCAAGTCTTTGGTGTTGGCTTTGGGTATAGAGACGGTAGAATGCTTTTGGGGCTTGGGTCTGGGGAAGAAGAGTGACGTGGACGAGGCGGTGGCGGCCAGAGAAAAGGAGAGAACCACGGCGAATTTAATCGACAGAAATGGCGGCTTGCCCATCATCAAAGATGATAAGAGTGACGGGAAGCTGTTAGCCGTGTCCGTGTCATTCTTCAACCGTTCAACGCAACGCGGCCGCGGCACAGCTCGCTCCTCCTATGATGAAGGCGGCGTGACGGTGGTGGTAATGGTGGCCGAAATTTGTAGCGCTATTCATATTTTGACTCGGGAAAACGGATATGATCATTAATGCTTCATCAAGGTCTTCTCATGATGGGATTTGATATTCAAAAAATCTATATTCAATTTATCCCAGTAGTTTTGTTTTTATAGTCAATAAATAAATCCGGTCAGATGAATCAAAAAAAAAATCCGGTCAGAAATTGTTTTTATTCAACAGTCTATATCTCGATCAATAGATCATTGCTTAAAAATCAGTACAAAGATTACATGAGCAGGTTCTCATTTCACTGTTCTAGATTTTCACTTTGTTTTCCCTAAATCAATTTAAGTCATCGGCTAATTATTTGCTTTTAATAATAAGAGTTGAACTTTTGAATAAATCGACAATGTATATACTATAACATACAATACATATGTAAAATTTGAATTATGTATTATGTATCTAATAATGAAAGTGCATATACTGTCTATGTATTGAAGATTAATCCAAAGTTTTAATGAAGAAATATAAATAGAAACTAGATACTTGGTGCTGTTAATCTAATCATCCAATCCCTTCTGGCTTATGCACTTGAAGGCTCTAATTTTAATTTCTGCTATTTCAAAATGCGGTTCCCCCAGCAATGTGCAATAGAGTACCCAGAATTTGAAGGTGAAAAGTAGAATCACATTTCCTTCCATCATAAATGAAATCGGAAGCCATGAATAGGGGCCATTCTGTCTGAGGACAAAGTGTTTGTTGCTTGAACAACTGAGGATTTTGGACAAAAGAATTGCAATTCCTCTGCACAAATTCATACTTTTGCAGCCAACAAAGGGTAAAGTTCAAGGCAAGCTTGTGTACAAGTATCAATAATGAATTACACTAGATAAAGCAGCAACCTAATGTGAGATTATGACATTTTATGATACACAAAAGTTGATAAGAAAAATCAGCGGTACATTTCAGCCAAAAGCCTGTAGAGCTTGGGAAGTCTATACTGTTATCCATAGGCTAAAAACATTACTGTAAGCCTCAGAAACGTATGATACTGTTAAATTTACCCATGATCCACTATCCACTAATACTTGAAATTTGTGTACGCGAACAAACTTGAACCAGCTAACGCATTCGCTTTGAATCCTTGCTTTCAGCAGACAGTTCCTTCGTCCGATTTAAATCCTTCAGGTGACACAAGCTTTTCATCTCGCTAGTGGAATAGATGTGCTTTCAGCCAGACAACAGGTTCTCTCAAATCACCAATCCTAAACAAAAGCAATCATAATTCATTTGACCTATACAGAGGATCAACACTGCCATGCACAATGTGCAGCATGTATGATTTTTTTGGTTTTGGAAGAGATTTTTTTTTTTACAGGGGGTGGGGGGGTGGGTTGGTGGTGCGGGCACTGGATACATGGAACTTGTGAATTTAGATTCCTTAACAATGTACACTTCAAAAACTCCCACATTAACTCTCTACGTTGAAGATAAAACATCTTGAATTTGCTTGACATCAGAATACTAATGTAAAAAGATGACTAGTGGGGTAGCGCAGTTAAATAGACAGCTCAAAGATATAGGATCTATAACTAATTTCACCGTTGGACAGTGAAATAAGTATTTTGGACCCTAAAATTGTATTAAGCATTTAAAATGTGAACCACTATTATCACTAAGGGATAGAAGGGAAAGATTAAAGGACCATAAAATTCTGCCCAAGGGCGTTGTAATTTCCCATAAAATGACTGCAGCATTCAGAGCTTGCTGGGATTGCAGTGCTTTTGCTTAAACTGCTTTTGGGCGGTAGAAGCACTTTTACGCTTCATTTAGCAGTTGAGGATTTGGACAGAAAAGAAAGGGAAAGAAGAGAAAATTTATAGTTTTCCTTTGTTTGTTAGTTTTTAGTAAGAAAGAAAAGAAAGGAAATGGGAGGATTCAGAAAGATGAACAGTAGGCAAAACTTTTCCTCCCAAATTTGAAGGAAAATGAGAGAAACTTTGAGGATGCTTCTCAAATTTTTTTGAAATGCCTATTTTATCCTTAAAAAAGTCTTGAACAAATATTTAATGACTTTCATATCCATAATCATTCCATTAATTCTCAAAACTCCCAAACAACATAATAATCCCTTCTCTTCTCTTCTCTCCTCTTCTCTTATAACTTCAGTTTTCCCTTCTTTTCTTCTCTATCCGAAACTCCCAAACTAAGCCTTCAAGTGCTTGGTAAGTGTTATTTCATAAATTTAGAAGTAGAGTTTTTGGTCTGAAAAACACTTTCAGCAGAAGTTCAACATGGGTATATTTAGAATAACTTTTGTGCTTAAGAAAACAAAAAATCTGGGCATTTGATCATAAACTCCTAATTGAATAAAGAGATAGATACAAACCAAATACAAGCAGCACTTATGCACCGAAACAATACAATCGAGCACTTAATAAGTACTTCTACTCAACACTCTACTAAGCGAAGTGCTTTTTGATAACCCACCACAATCCTAAATGTGCATTAAACTCTGTCAAATCATCTTAAAGTTCATTTGAAAGTTTTTGCTTTCTCTAAATGATTTGTATTCATCTATATCAATGATGGATAAAGTCCATTTGAAATTCAAGCCAGAATTAAGACGAACGTTTTCAACTTTATGGTCAACAAAGGATGTTGCAGCACCCGCATGAATCAAAGGAGCTGCAAGCTCCAGTCACCAGAGCCTCTAATCAAGTTCAGTATTCCAATACTCCTGTATTTAAGAGAAAAATTTATACTGCATGTAATTACCTGGAGAAAATGTTAAATTGCATCAAAGGCTTTAATTCCAGCATTCTTGTCCCAGTCCTCTGGAGCGGCAACATCTGCCATAATTTGTTCCTGACCACGCCAGAGTATCTGAACCACAAGTTGCTGTTGATTAATACTAGCGTAATTCAAGGTTTTCCCCATATCAAATTGTATAAAAATCAAATGAGTCTGAATCCCAAGAATATAAAATCGTAGGGGTGACTCAGATCAACAAATGACCTTGTCAATGACGCCAAATTCTTTAGCTCTGGTTGAGTCCATGTAAAATGGCCTTCTCATCACATCAGCAACTGCCTCTATTGACTGTTAATATAAGATTTCAACAATTAATCTGCATGAACTGCTTGCTACTAAATCAAAGCCGGAGAGAGATAAATCTGATGTTGGATACTCACATTTCCAGTATGCTTAGCTAAAAGTTCAACAAGGGTGTCTCTGTTAATTATTACCTGCAATAAAAATAAAGTTAGGACAAACATTCCCTAAATGTTAATAGTGTGCCAGAATTCTAATAGCACCAAACAACAAGTGCTTAGCTTGTCATGTTTGAGAAGAAGATGAAATAAGCTCCTATAAGAAGATGATGCGAGGATTAGGCACAAATTTGCATTGAGTAGCTTTTTACCGGGTAGATGACAAAGTGAAACTCTAAACCATGATAATGCATGAGGACAGTCCTCATTTTTCAAGCTGTACATCTGTTCATACTCATTTCAAGGAACCCTCAAGCTACTTCACATGAGTATCCACCATAAAATCTATCTCAGCAGGATTTAAAGCAAAAAATGCCACCAAAAGCTTGAACTAACCTCCTTTGCACGTATAAAAACATCACTGGCTGGCATTAACCCAGATGATGGCGCACGAGGCTGCTGAATCATAGCTGGAGCAGAAACCAAAATTCATGTCAAATTTCTAAATGCATCGAGTCAGAGGACATGAAATATTGCACATGAAACCAGATTTGATTAACGCAGCATACCTTTTGCATGCGGCATCATAAACCTTTTCCCCTTGGTTCCTGCAGCAAGCAAGAGACATGCCTGACCTATAGCAGCTCCAACAGCCACAGTATGTATCTGAATTTCACATTATAATAAGAGGATAGAAAATAACAAGAAACTGTCAAAGCATTCAATACTACTCTCCAGTAGCAACAGTAACCATTTGAGGAAATTGCCTCAATGTAGATCACTCAGTATGTTTAGTTATTCAATCAAAATCCACAGAATGACTTCATTCAATCCAAAGCTGCGCATTGTATTATAATTGGAGAAATATTAAGCAAACGTGTATTTTAGCAGCACTGGATAGAGACACCATATCTCAATTTGTTATCCAATACAGATACCTCTCCATTCATGCACAGAAAAAAACTTGACCAAGGACGAAACAAAGATATCAGAAGTCAACAATAGGCATAATCTAGTCATAGCCTCATTAAGCTTGAACAGGGAAAAGATTTTTCACCTAATTCGTATCTGACAACATAACTAAACTGCTTTTTAAAAACTGGACTAGGCTTACTGTTTCAATCTAGATAGATTGAAAAGTCAACAACATGCAAGGTTTGGCTAATGAATTTAACTCTCATCTACTTTATGCAAGCTATAAAATTTAAATTCTAAGAAGGATAGACATTAAATTAGCCTAAATGCTCCAATAAAATGCCAGATGTCACATCTTTATTAACATAAAATATAACCTATAGGAGAAGCTCACCTCATTCTTCAACTGCATCAATGCATCATAGATTGCAAAACCCTCCGTTTCCATGCCGACCTAAGACACAGAAGGTTTCATAAAAATAGCTTAATTGAAAATTAATAGTATACTAGACTCAGAGAAGTACGCAAAAATCAGTATGTAAGTAAAGAGATTAATATAAAAAGACTAACCCTTGAGAAAACTGGTCCCTACAGTGTTGACTGGTATAAAAGTAAGTTCGCAGACAGCACCCAAGGCATACATTTAGCAATAAATAGAAAGTGCCAAAAAGTTTCCAAGGACAAGACAGACGCACACAGGATGGCAATTAGTAACAAACCATATTCAGGTTATTAACGAGAAGTATATCTCTTACTATCCATTCAGCAACATAACTTGCATTCTTGCTTTCTGTGTAGTCAATTCTTCAATTGCATTGTAAGTTCTCGGTCCATTACTGGTCCACTTTGTCTTCAAATCTCATCTCAATCTACAACTGGTTATTTAAACATGTCTAAACTCCTATGTGTTTTATTTTTTTTAATTTCTAGGCATCTCTTTCAGTATATTGCATCTGTAATTTCCTTGTAGCTTTTCACCTTT